AGAGAGAGAGAGAGAGAGAGAGAGAGAGAGAGAGAGAGAGAGAGAGAGAGAGACAGAGAGGGAGAGGGGGGGGGGCGGCGGTGGGTAATATCAAAGAGAAATGCTTCCCCCCGTCATCAAGTCAATCTATACGAACGTTTCCGCACGACAGGAGTAGATCGCCGCGGGGAGGCTGGCTGAGGTTAAAGAGCACGTATCGCCTCCGCTTGTCGGCCGACGCTTTGACGTCGGCGTCGCTCCCCATGATTATGCACGTCAAGCAAGCTGGCCGCAATCAACGAGCGCAGAATCACGCGTTCCGAGATTTTAATGATGTGACCACCTCGGCGTGAGAACACGCATAGACACACGCTTTTGTTTCCCGGGGAGAAACAAATACGAGCTGACACTCCGTCATTGTGTCATGCTAATTACTAAGCGCGATAATAAATTGAGAGAATACCGATAGAGGTGCGTAAGAGTGAGCCCAGATTTTAGTCTAGCGCCTATTACATACACCTGATCGTGTGTATAGCCACTGCTTTGCCGATGTGCTACTGTCGGTCTATATAGGTTAACAAATTTTGTATGAACATAGACGATACATACTCGTTTGTGCAAACATCTTGCGTAAATGAAGTTCAACGTTTATATGTCGAATATTTACGTAGTTTACGTGTTTCTTTTCGACATTATTATATTGCCTTTGTGTATATCTGATAACACCGCAAAGCATTATAAACGATGATCATTCTGTGATCATTCTAACGTAAACCTACTAGATATGAGGGAACCATAGAAATATGTAGAGACACTAGTCTAACTATTATTATTATTTTTATGGGGGAAACGCAGAAACACGAGTGTGGGGTATAGCGTAGCGTGATGTAGCGTGGTTTAGGGCACCCCTGCACTAAAAGCGTTTTGCAGACAGTAATCGGCAGAACAAAGTAAGACGTTGATGCAGAATTGTAGAAAAAATTCGACGGGAGATTATTCTCTTAAATTGTTACCGACCATTGCCAGTAAAGAAAGAGAGAGAGAGAGAGAGAGAGAGAGAGAAAAAGAGAGAGAGAGAGAAAAAAAAAGCGAGAGAGATCGACAGAAACAGAAACAGAGACAGAGACAGAGACAGAGACAGAGAGAGAGAGAGAGGAAAAGAGAGAAAGAAAGAGAGAGAGAGAGAGAGAGAGAGAGAGAGAGAGAGAGAGAGAGAGAGACAGACAGAGACGGAGATTTAAAAAAAAGGTTCGTCGTTGGGCGCTAAGAAGCAAGCGTCCACCGGTGATCTACCGGAATGAAGCCAATTTTTATCAGTACAGGACTTTCTACAGGTTGGTACCGCCAGTGCGGCATAATCCCGCACGACCACGACGTGGATTTTGGCATGTGGGCAGAGGACTACGAACCGTCACTACGAGCTGTCTTCGAGAACAATCCAGTGCTTAAGCTCTGCACCGTGTGGGGAAACGTAAGCGTCTTAAATCTGACGGCCAGTGCCTGAGAAATATCCACGCGCGCGCGCGGAGTGTGTCGTGCCACGCGCGCGTCTGTCTGTCTGTCAGTCAGTCAGTCTGTCTGTATCTGTCTGTCTGTCTGTATGTCTGTCTGTGTGTCTATCTGTCTGTCTGTGTGTCTGTTTGTCTGACTGTCAGCCTGTCAGTCTGTCAGTCAGTCAGTCAGTTTGTCAGTCAGTCAGTCAGTTTGTCAGTCACTCAGTCAGTCGGTCAGTCGGTCAGTCGGTCAGTCGGTCAGTTTGTCAGTCTGTCAGTTTGTCGGTCTGTCTGTTTGTCTGTCTGTCAGCCTGTCAGTCTGTCAGTCAGCCAGTCAGTCAGTCAGTCAGTCTGTCTGTCTGTCTGTCTGTCTGTCTGTCTGTCTGTCTGTCTGTCTCTTCTGTCTGTCTGTCCTTCGATCAGTCTGTCACTGCTATTATGCGACGTACTGTGGGACTTGTAGTAGGGAGGCCCGGTGTATGTATTCTAGTGTCGCACGACTCGAGCTGGGAAGCCGCGGCAGCCATCACTCGGGTGGATGCGTTTTGCGGTCGGTCGTGCACGCGCGCGAGATAAACGAGGTGGATCGCCTATCATAGGGGGGGGGGTCGCTTATCATGGCGGCGGGGGGTCGCTTATCATGGGTGGGAACCACTTATCATGGGGGGTCGCTTATCATGGGGGGGGTCGCTTATCATGGGGGGTCGCTTATCATGGGGGTTGCTTATCTCATGGGGGTCGCTTATCATAGCGGTGGCGGGGTGGTTGCTTATCATGGGGAGGTCACCTATCATGGGTGGGGATCACTTTTCATGGGGGGTCGCTTATCATGGGTGGGGATCACTTTTCATGGGGGGGGTCGCTTATCATGGGGGTCGCTTATCATAGGGGATTGCTTATCATGGGGGGAGGGGTCGCTTATCATGGGGGTTGCTTATCATGGGGGTCGCTTATCATGGGAGTCACTTATCATGGGGAGTCGCTTAGCTTATCATGGGGAATGTTTGCGAATCGTTCAGACTAACGTCTGTGCGGCGAACGCGGTTCACTGCACGCCAGCGCTAGAAGGTATATGACGGCGAAGACGGAGAGGAGGAGGGGGAAGGCGGTGTATGCGAGTGTCGTCTGTCAGGCAATGCGAAGACAGGCTTCTTTTTCGCGGCGACTCGCAGCAGCAGAGCGGGAGCGTGCTCCGGTAATGCTCTCTCAATGCCGCTGCCGTCGCTATAAATTATGCTCGGCTGCTATTCAATGAAGTGCAGGGTGACCCTGCCACTGCCGCGTAGCATCAGATATGCGGATGCGCAGCAGCAGCAGCAGCGTTTCAACATCTGACAGAATTCATAGCAGACGCGCGATTTCGTTGGACCGTCGCTGTCTCTCTCGGGAGTTGACATAATTTCATGCGCGGACGGATGTTTTTTTTTTCGGCACGTGAAGAGAGCGCGATATCGAATTTACACCTTGATACGTGACGGGCTATTCGCCGCTAGCTGTCATTTCATCCTCGTCTCACAATCCGAGTTGAAAGACCGTAATCGTGGATTTTGCGAGCTAGACGTGCCAAGGTGACGACAAAAAGGGCCGGCTGGTTATAATCCGTGCAGCCATGTAGTCCGTCATTACGGATACTAAGATGGTTTCGGGAATTTACGCGAAAATTGATTTAAGCAGATAAATATAGCTTATATATATAGATAATAATAAATATGATTAAAACACGAAATTTCGTTAAGCATTATGACGCGACACCACTCTATGACACGCTACGCTACGCTACACTACTCTACGCCCCCCCCACGCCACACCACGCCACCCCACGCCACGCCACCCCACCCCACCCCACGCCACTCCACGCCACCCAACCCCACGCCACGCTACGCCACTCCACGCCACACCACGACGCTCACGCACACAACGCTACGCCGCGCGATCCAACGTCAAATTGCACATAACTGTGCTATACATGCGCTACACTACACTACGCTACACTACACTACGCTACAATAATATACATGCGCTGTGTAAGTGTTGTTATATATTTTCCAGAAAAATGACAGTTTCCAATTCGCACTTTGGGGCTACCACATGAAAGTGGACATCTTTTTCCTTTATAAGACACCAGACGGCATGCACACATTTCATGGCGTCACAGGGAATGACGGTCGACGAAGATATAGGTAAGTATCGGTCTCCCGCGTTCTCCCGCACTCCCTCTCTCTCTCTTTCTCCCTCTCCCCCTATCCCCTCTCCACCCCTTTCCCCATATATATAAATTTCTTCATATGTTTCTCGCCGTTAAATTACAAAGCCATTTGTAATTTGTTCTTATAATAACGCTCGAGATTTTCCCTTCCGTCAATTCCTTAAGAATATATACACAAGATCCTGCACTATCTACTCCATCAGGTTTTTCGCAAAGGTTTAGCCAGCACAACTGTGTTCCTAATTACTGTATCGCTTTATATGGATTCTCTCTCTAAAATACGGATAGACAAACGAAACGTACTCAAAACCGCTAGTGAACATCAAAACAACTGCTTCAATCCTTTTACTGCCCTGCCGCACTTTGCGTAGTATCAGGAGCTAATAATACAGCTAAATAATACAGAACTAATAATACAACTAAATAATACAGAGTTAACAAGAGCAATCGGAGATTGCAAACCTCCGCCACAGCGTAACAGTCCCCCCATCTTGCTGGTACACCCAATATAGAGTTTGATAAAATTTTCAGAAATTTGAAAAAAAAGATCTAGGATTTTTTTTAATGAATTTTGAATAATAGGTATATTATTAGCTCTTGGCAGCATGTAGTTTCTTGTTATCTCATTCCACGATTTTCTTCTATAGTTATAGCAGCATGAAGACTGTTATTACCAGCTGAAAAGTGTAGTCAACTTCATGGGTGATAACATCTGTGATATCTATATCTATCATGACTGTGTAGCTAGTATCCATAAATATATGGCGTAAATTCAACATGGAGTTGTCATACTCAGTAATAATCCGAACATTGCCGAATGAGCGGATAATTTTCCGCTGTCGAATTAATATACTGTGTTAGCGTGTAGTGTACTCTTGCCCGTCTTTTAAAACAGACCATTTGTGAAGGTTGTAAATCCGCTTTCCCTTTCTTATTGGCGGCACAAAACCATTTTGCAATTTTATTGGCTAAAACCGCCAATTTCATAAACGAGTAATATGAAGATTCATGCTGTAGGTCATGCATATATACCTATACTTTCTAATTATCCGAGCACATAATTGTATTCGACTAGGATAACTATTGTATAAATTGCCGTTACAAACGATTCTAATTGGGTGCTGATAGCTATGCGATTTTTCATGAATAACTTATGAAGTCAATATAAATAGGAATTTGCCGCACAATACGATGATGTAAATGCGGTGATGAGGGAATTTGATCGATGTGTATTACAAACCACCGCCGATGAATCTATGGATGGGTATATTGGCGCACACACGCACACACGCACGCACGCACGCACGCACACACACACACGCACGCACGCACGCGCGCGCGCACACACACACACGCGCGCACGCACGTACGCACGCACGCACGCACGCACGCACATACACACACACACACACACACGCACACACACCCCACACACATTTATGCGGTCATGCATGCGCCCGCGAGGTAGATATATCCAAGAGTACATAATATCGTATATCTGTGTGAATCGTATATCTTGATATATCGTGTATAACCTCATGCCGCCACTTCCCCACAGCCCGCAACCACACCTGTTGCGACAATTAATAACAAACAATTAATAACAAACAATTAATAAGAAGCCAACAAGGCGCAATCATATCCTCGTCATCTCCTCTTCTCGGAACAACAGCGCGACGTTTCCGGCGGTCCAACTCTGCACGACAGAGTTTCTCGGAGAGATGTTTCACGTTCCTTGCACGCCGAGTCTCATGCTAGACGCCGAATACGGAACGAACTGGCGCGAACCAAATGTCGAATACGACTACCAGGACGCCTTAAACCTACGCAAGAGAGGAGCGTGGAAAAAGCAGGCCGAGATTATGTGTGAAGAGTAGGTGTAGAGTTGCTGTGAGCACGACTAGGATTAGTACAAGAGCTAACAATACATTATATAGCATGTATTATATTGCATATGTCTAATGCATTATGTATAATGCATATGCAAATGTCTAATGCATTATGTATAATGCATATGCATATGTATAATGCATTATGTGTATGCATAATGTAGTATATTGTATGTAACATACATTATAACAGAAGTAGATAATAGGGAACCTATTACCTGATTATAATAATGTATTAATAGCTCTTGATTAGTATAAGTGTGACCTGGGATTCGGTACGGTTCAATGATTCGCTCACCGCACACTTACCGTACACGTGTAGTGGCAGGGACTATAGTGTTAGAAACTTAGAGGGAGTAATACCATAACGCCAAGTGCATGGGTTACGCCATGAGTTACAATGTTAACGACTTCAAAGGTTTACAAGTTCAGCTATAAAATGCGCATAATTACTGCTACGATGTGTGTTTTTTTGCTGTATATAAATACTGCTACGATGTGTGTTTTTTGCTATATATAAATACTGCTACGATGTGTTTTTTTGCTATCTATAAATACTGCTACGATGTGTGTTTTTGCTATATATAAATACTGCTACGATGTGTTTTTTGCTATATATAAATACTGCTACGATGTGTTTTTTGCTATATATAAATACTGCTACGATGTGTTTTTTTGCCATGTATAAATACGGCTATGATGTTTAAAAAAAATCATCGTTTGCAGTGCGCGCACGCACGCACGGTGCAAGGTTGCTCTGCGGCCGTCGTGTGTATGTATATATGTATCTAGCGACCATGCATGTCTAACGTGTGTCTTTCACAACACATTGCCGCGAAGTTCACGGCAATCGATAAATCCGGCGCATTCGCCGAAAAAAATTATAGATATATTTTTTACAGCATTTGTATACGATTATTTAATTGTAAACCTCGGCTTACGATAATCTCAATCTTGCCCACTAGCAGTGCTACAGCTTTCTACTGCTTGATGAACAACGGAGGAGGTATATAGTAAGCCATGCTCAAATACGCGTCGACTTTGATTAATATCTTAATTAGGGCAGTTGCTGAAAACGCGCCATCTTCGCGTGGATTATAGACGATCGACAAGGCGCAAACATGGCCTATAGCAGCATCGCCTTAATTAATAAAAAATGTAATTAATATGATTGTTCGCGTATCTATTATGGTTCTATTATTATATGGGCATTATTTTTATTTACGCGTGCGTTATATTAAAAGCGCTATATACTGCAGCTAGAGGTCTACACTATAATTTAAAATCACGTAATATGTAGTGGATAAACACAACAACGCGATATTATAATGACAAAATTTACGAAGAATAATCATTTACGTGGCTGGCTTTCAGTGCAAACTTGCAAGATTCCCCCCCCAACCACACCCTATGATATCCCACTTGCATGACAATATAATTCTCTTCTACCATATCGCACGCGAATTAGAAAAACAAGAACTCATCCTACATGTTATCATGGTTGAATAATGACAAAATTGTCATTATTCACCCCTGATGTTATTATGTAGCGAGCGATAATTGATTGCGCTGGACTCTAATGAGTTATATAGCCATTATTTCTAAACGCAACGATGTGTTGATACCATCGACAGCGCCCACATCACACAAACACAGCTCACCGGTTTCAATACTGGGCAACAAACAAGATTGACGTGTTTGCATGCAAAGTGTCGCCATTTTGTTCTCCGAGAATAAATGACTGTCGTAATTGAGCGGCGATATTAAATAAAACACTTTAATCGTTTAGCAGGAAATTAATTACATGGGAACCTTGGCTTATTTGCGTCTAACACATAGGTATGCATTCTACAGCAATTGAAACAATTACTCATTATGAGTCACCGAACGTTCAAGTATAATAAGGCACATGCCATAATTCATAGTGTAACAAACGGTACAGATAACATGAAGAATGTATGAATACTACGCACGTTCAGCCATGTCCGAGAGTGGCATACACATTATCGAGTGCTTTCAGTAAGTTCTTTGCAAAGGCTTTAATTATAAAAATGGAGATAAGGAAAAATGTCGTAAGTTAACATCTATATTACCTCACGATTTCTAATGAATGAATGAATGAATGAATAAATAAATGAATGAATGAATAAATGAATGAATGAATGAATAAATGAATAAATAAATGAATGAATGAATAAATGAATAAATGAATGAATGAAGGAAGGAATGAAGGAATGAGGGAATGAAGGAATGAATGAATAAATAAATGAATGAATGAATGAATGAATGAATGAATGAGTGAGTAAATGAATGAATAAATGAATGAATGAATAAATGAATGAATGAATGAATGAATGAATGAATGAATGAATGAATGAATAAATAAATGAATAAATAAGTAAACAAACTCGAACAAGTATTATAATAAATAAATAGGTGTATTATAAAAAATAAAGAAATCAGGTAATAGCAGCAAGTGTATGCCCGAATTTCAAGATACACCGCGTGCATAATGTTTGCCGAATTCGAATAAATCTGTGTTCAGATCAAAGCTAAAATATCACGCCGCAACCTGGCAGCAAAAAGATATAGCAAAAACGACATAATGCGTGGCACGTAGAGCTGTTATATATATATATATATATATATATATATATATATATATATATATGTACCGCTCTATAGCGAGACATCAACCCTTTATTCACGCGATCATCACAGAGTATCAATAACCAATGTTGTGCGAAATAGAGTCATCGGTACCCGTATGGATCTGCATCTTAGTAAAAACAGAAACCCATATACGTATCGAGTGACTGTATGTTCACCCATACACGATGTTTGCGTCGTTATATATGAAGTAATATAACAGGGTAGAGATCAGATTGAGTTTTCTTAACCGATGAATTTATTTAGAAAATATGATCAGTCATATATATTTATATATATCATTGAAAAGACAACGTTCATTACACAAGAAAACGAGAGAATGTTTATTTTATCCGTCTTTTGTCTAACAGAAAGTGTTTTTTAACATAATATTTTTGACACATTCTATCAAGTATGGCTTTTTATAGAAATATACTTTAGGATATAAACAAAGTTTGTTAAAGTAGAAAATGACAGAAACCCGATTATTACCTTCACCCATGATAGATAATCAAGTTTTCATTCTCATATGTGCAGAACAAGAAGTGTGTAGAGAGATGCTATTATGCTAAAGCTATTTACTAAACAACTTGCAGTAAAAAGAATCGTATTTGGCGCTAAAACGAAACCTTTCTAATCAAAAGAAAACAGTAAAGCAGTGATGAAGTTGCTTCTAAAATTTAATTGAATCATACCACTAATCAATAATCGACGACATTCACTCACTCTCGAGTGAGTGAAATGCCGGGCACGTCACGTGTGCGTCACGTGACTGGTCGCCATTTTTCCGAAGCGCAACATCGAACGTGTTCGTAAAACGTAAATAGCAATTAAGATAACGCTGGTATTTTTCTCTCACGTGCTCGACACGAAATGCAAGAAACCGCGGGCTTGACGATGCAGACGCGCAAATGCAGAACGGAATCGAAAACTGTAGAAGTTGTGTGTGTGTGTGTGTGTGTGTGTGTGTGTGTGTGTGTGTGTGTGTGTGTGTGTGTGTGTGTGTGTGCCATCTTATATAACGTTTGACGTTCGAGGTCGTAGTTTTTTGTCATCGGTGTGCTTTAGTCCGTACTCCTGCCGTAACGCATGCCGAGGAAATCGTAGTCCCCGTACTGATCAGCTCGACCGAACCTGGAATATCCATAGTCGAGACTCCCAAACCTCTTCTCCATACGATTCTGCTCGCTCACATCCACGTCGTCGTTGTCCGAAATCTGCAGACGATATATCAAACACACGTGAGCACGGCTGAACGCCGCATTGTAGAGAGAACTTGCCCTTCTGCGGCCCGTTGTCAGAAATAAAATCAGTAGTGAAATTAGTCTTAACATTAACATTAGTCGTAAGTGCTATCTCAGCATTAACATTAGCATTAACTTTACTATGTTTCTGACAACGGTCCCCTGCCCTCTTCTGAACACGGGTGCACGTTGTCGGAAACAGAGAGATAGTCTTAACATTAGCATGCGCAGCCAACTCGTGCTAACTTAGCCCGATTGAGCCCAGTTGTGCGTGTACGCTGCGATTTAGCGCGCGCCTGTCCCGGGCCTGTCCCGGACTAGCTTGATGTAGGATCTAACTTTGCAATCTGCACGGGGTACAAGTCTTAATATGGACATTTTCTCGTAGATCGGACCCTCTATACGCTTGCGTACGTGAAAACTCGTGACGTTACCGTTTTTTTCTGTCGACGAGGTTCTGTCAAAGTTAATAACAGGACTAACGTTAAGTCGAATGTTGTTTCTGGTAACGAGTCCCAGGTTTATACCGGAGAGTGAGCCCAAGGGAAGTAGTGGCAGGATAAGGAATTTATAGATCGCTTTTCCCTTTCGGCTCGTCCGCGGCATAATAATATTAGCGTGACCGCCATCTTGCACGTTTCCAATTAACTTCCCGCGTATCCAATTAAAACTTGTGATAGGCCAGTCAAGTAAACTGTAATTATTGATGAACGTTAATTATATAGCTTCGGCATGTCAAAATTTTTTTAACAAGTGCGTTTAAGATATTAATAACAATCATAACCTCTACCTTTGCAGGGAGGTTCCCAAAGCTGTCACCTAACTTCATAATGATACTTCACATTATGTATACATCTAATACGGGTCCACATATAATCGGTATCGATATCGAATTCGCATATAATCACATGGACGCCAAGGAGACATTACCGCTCTGGTAGCCACGTAATTTTAATATTAGTTATGTATCATAATTGCTATTGATTAAACGCATTCGTGATTGTTATTGTTTTAATTGTTATTGTTGCGATTGGATTTTATTGTTACTGATTTGTTATTGTAATTGATCGTTATTTATTCTGACGTTAAAGGATAGATGGATGAAAAGTTGTCACAACCGACGCAATTTGATGTGTAGATTTAGATTTGAAATTAGATGGAGACTAGATTTAGATTTATAATTAGATGTGTAGATTTAGTGTAGACTACATAAACAAAACCGGTGCTATGTCGATTGGGGAGGGGGTCTTACGTGATTTGAGGATGGATAGGTTTATTAGCTAATCAATATTGTGCAGGTAATACTGACAATCATTCATCCCGTCAACCCGCAGTATTTTGTTAAATCTTGTTTGTTCAGTACACGCGTTAAATATTCCACGCTATCTTTGATATATGCGATAGCCGAACGATTTTCCATTTATTAGTAGAAATGCAATTTTTAATAAAAAAAACCACCGCCTGTAATAAACTATAACAGACATTAAGAGTTCGACCTTAACATGACATTAACAGCAATTGCTGTACATGCATATTCTCGATTGAACTCATATAGCAGATTTGTGATCTTGGCAACCCCTAATTTGTTTATGGAGCGTTTATTGTCCTCTTTATACATAAATTGCGATAAAAAAAATGCCGACAAGGACGCTCGACAAGGGCAGCTCGAGAGGCAGAGTGCAGTTTTATGTGTATGTCGCCGCCTTTGATTGTCGGCGGCACGTGTTTTTTCGTACAAGAGACATTTTCGAGCTAACTCACGTCAGGAGGCTGCTCAGCTGCTGAATGCACACCCACACACACGCACGCACGCACGCACGCACGCACGCACACACACGCACGCACGCGCGCGCGCACGCACGCACGCACACACGCACACACGCACGCACGCGCACGCGCGCAGGCACACGCACACACATACATGCACACACACACACACACACACACACACACACACACACACAC